ACGCGTCGCGAACACCCGAGTGGTGACTTCCATTTCTCGATGGCGAGAAATGGAACCCTGCGAAAAGTTGAACACTTTGAGTGGCTTAATACGGAAAGCCCGTTAGTTGGCAAAAAGTTAAAGTCCTAACATCCCTTTGGCAATATGCACCAAAGATTTGTTTCAGGCCCGGAAAAAACATGAGAAAATGTGTCCAGTGATAGGCTCCCTTGAACGCCACAATGGCAAAAATATGAGCTGTTCTTAAGCAAATGGAAGTTTGAGCTTTCAGGAAATCGGGTTGGGTCCGGAAGTGCGGAAATATGGTTATGTTAAAAACCATGTGTGCTGCAGTGTTGAAGGTTCTGCAAAACTCAGTTTGCACACCAACAAAGATGCGGGGCAAAAGGGGGCGGACACGCACTGGTGCAAGTGGGGCGTATTTGGGTTTGTCTCCGAGTTTCAAAGGCTGTATCAGAAGCAGAATGTGCATGTGCCTGCATGAACACATTGCCAAAGGTAGCGTGGAGGCGAAAAAGTGTTCATCAAGTTTCGCCAAAAAAACACTGACCCAAAACCCGCGGAACGCCCGCCTGCCCTGCTGCGCACCACCTCGGGAAAGTACTCCACTTCCTCAGCGGAAGCTTCGCGATTTTGGGCGATGCACGTAGAGTCGCAGGTGGGAGGCGCGGCCATTTGTGGGGCCAGGTGGGCCTGGGGGCAGATGGAAACCTGTGGTCGCCGTAGAAGTCCACGCTGGCACTGACAAGCCATCCGCAGACAGACGCTTTGCGGGGAGTCAAACAACCTCACCCTGGCGGATGCCTATAGGGGAGCACTCCCACAATGTCTTAAAGGGTCGCCTACTTCCAGAAAAGTCGTTCAGGAAAGACTCCGTGAAAGTGACTGTGACGGTGAACATGACCATGTTGGCCAGCGCAGGGAGAAAAAATGGAGGGCACGCGAACGTAAACATAAGCATCTTGGCGTAGGAGAGCAAACAGAGGGTTCCCATGAACGTCCACGCAACACGCTGGAAAAGACATTCAGGACCGCTGCAAACCACACCAAAGGCACCCACAGGGCTTTTTCTAGCCTTGTCGTGAGCTTCTCCTGGGATAGACCAGCCCCCGCCCCCCCCCCCCCCCCGAGAGAAAATCTAAGAGAACGCACGTACATTCTGTTAAAGCCTGCCGATGTCCATGCTTCAAGGGCAGGTCTTGCCACAACCTTTCACCCGCACGTTATCATCCGTGTTTCATTTTAAAAAAATGCTTTGAACACTTTGGAAGAACCCACAACAAAACAGGCAGCCGTCGATCCAAATGACCAGGGCACGGCTGACTTTATCGCGGAGCCAGGAACAAATTCAAGGTTGAACTGCCATGTAGGCCTCCCTGCAAACGGGTCCTGGCCGTTTAACCCAATAAAGCCACGCTCCAGCCAAAATAATGTTGTTATCTTCGTTCGGGAGCCTTTGGCTCACAACATTTACGCGCGGATTTCTGCAACCCGCATTTTGAAGCTTGTGCCCAGCCCTTATGCCTCCCAAGCATAACCTCCCACACGCTGCCTGCGCCCAGACAGTCTGAAGCAGCGCTAGCACCGCCGGGTCCTCACAGGAACATGAGTTGCCCAGTGGGAACACAAGGGCACCTCGTGTTTCAAGGAAAGAGAACCAAACAAACAACCAAACAACCAAACAACCAACCAACCAACCAAGCAAGCAGGCAAGCAGGCAGGCAGGCAGGCACGCACGCACGTAGGCAGGCAGGCAGGCAGCCAGGCAAAATGCAAAGCAAGCAAAACAAACAAACAAACAAACAAACAAACAAACAAACCAACAAACCAACAAACAAACAAAGAAAGAAAGAAAGAAACAAACAAACAAACAAACAAACAAACAAACAAACAAACAAACAAACAAGCCAACAACGCAGGCAAATCAATGCAAGCAAACAAGCAAGTAAGCAAGCAAGTAAGCAAGCAAGTAAGCAAGCAAGTAAGCAAGCAAGTAAGCAAGCAAGTAAGCAAGCAAGTAAGCAAGCAAGTAAGCAAGCAAACAAGCGAAACAAGTGGACAACTCCGCACGCGCTGTGTTGGACACATACAGAATTCACTGACCCCATCCGGCTTAAGTTCACCACATCGCGGGGACCGACGTGGTATACAACTACGGAGCTATGCGTTGTGAGCAAAAGTTCCCCAAAACGAAACTTGTTGCGTTTGAACATGTGAGCATCGCCAGCTCCTTGTAGGGGGCTCTCTCAATTGTTCCCCGCTACAAGTTTAACTTTTAGTAGGTTAAATGGAAACTACCACTAAGCACTAAAAGGCAAAAAGCTAAGGGGATGGCCGGGAGCCACCAAGTAAAATGGTCAGGATTTGTTGCTTTTCCCTTTGAACACCGACCAGGGCCCCGATTTTGAGAAACACTCAGCTCGCCTTTGGCGTGTAAATCTGACAGTGGCCTTCAGCCCAAGGACGTATATGGCATTGTCACATGTGACTGGATTGGAAGCGGCGACCAAAACGAGCAATCCCCCCTCACATGCCCCATGTACCTTCGCGCCCGTCCATGGTTGCGGGAAATTCCAGTTTTTAGTAAATACCAAAATGGGTATCACAGAAAATGCCTCTCCTTTCCCCCCTCCAGTTTCACAACCATGGAGTGGTACTGTGGATGGACACAATGCCCTGCGCATCACTTGTGATTCATGAAGCCCATAAAAACATGTCCCACAACCGTTCACCATGTCTATCACATGTTCCATAGAACCCATCAACAGTCTCCGTGAGCATCTAGAAAATTAATTGTCATGTTTATTCTTTTGACTTAAGTGCTAACCCCCCCCCCCCCCCCCATTTTGCGAGTCTAAAAAGACGACAAAAACCCAACCCACGGCGAATCCCCCATCCTCCACCCGCGGCGGGGCCGCATCGTCCGGCGCGGCGAAGCTCTCGGCATCGAAGCCCAGGCTGAGCGACCGAAAAAACCGGTGTGACCGCACCGAACCAAAGATGAGTCACTGAGTCACAAGAAACTGGCCGAAAACCAAGGAGAAGAGCTACAAAGGCGAAGATCCGCGACACAAGTCTGGTTGGGGCTGTCCCTTGCTAACCTTCACTTGCGCGGGTTTTGAGTATGGCTCACATTGGGGGAGTCCATGGTGGTGTAAGTTGCTCTAAAGGGAAACCCAAGAGACCCCGGGCTGCCCTACTTTGACACCTATGGTGGTCACCACGGGGATGCATTCCTGATGGAAATTATGTGGGCTGGCACACCAGTTTACTCCTTTGGCTAATGGAGGCCTTGGTGTTCTGGCCCAGGTATCGTTGCGAAAAGTACATGGACTCCAAAAGAAAATGTGTCCGGGATGGGCCAGGTTCTGAACCGGGAGGCGGGGTCCGGAAGGGTTCCACAAACAGGTAGGGTTCCACTATGGGTCTGTCAAAGGGAAGCCTTTCGTGGAGGGCTTCAAAACGGAGAATCAAAGGGAAGCCGACCATGGCAAGGGGAAGCCTTCGATGTTAAGACCAAAGCAAACCACCAGTTGGACGGGGTTTACGGGGAATTCTCATTCCAATTCTCATTCCCAGCCTATCCCGATCGCAAGTCTTCCAAGCGGACGTGCTGTCCGAGCGGCTCGGACTCGTTGCCCGCGCCCCTCGGCGCCCGGCCTCGGACATTCGGAGAGACGGCTCCGGACGCGAAGGGGACCGAGGTGTCTCTAGCGAGACCATTCACTTGGTTGACGTTGGGTTTGGGGAGCAAAACAATTCCCAATTTTAGCAGTTAAGTGGATTTTGATTTCAACCACTAAACCACAATAAGCAAACATGTAAAATGTAAAACCCAACAACCATGTTCAGGTCCCTGGAGGAGGCAGACTTTCGTGGGGTAGGGAAACCAACGCAACAGCCCGGGCCAGTGAACATTTCCCATCCCTGAAAACTCTCTTTTCGTAGCAGCCTCCTTTCTGAACCTCTGATTTGTAGGAACCTCGAGGGGAGGTCCTTACTTCCCCCGCTCGCAGACATCAACGTAACCTTTTGACGCCGTCGATGTGTGCCCAGGTGCCCTTCCTGTGCCCCATAAGGTCGACCAACCAGACCAACCGGTTCTTCGCATTTGCCGGACGGGCCCACCCCTCCACCCCAGACGGCCCAGGCCCAGACGGCCGGCCTCGCTCGGAGGCGGCTGGCTGCGCATGGGCGAAGGCCTGGGACATCTGCGCCAAGGCGGCGTGCGGCAGCCCGGCGCGGGGAGCCTTCGGGCCTCAGCGTGTGATGGGATACGGACGAATGATGCAGTTAGGTATATGCAAGTGGCAAGGCACTGGGAAAATCTGCAAGGGCTATGTGAAGGGACATGATACCATGTGGGATTTTCATCTTTGGTACTTTCAAGGTTCCTTTGGCCGCCCGAATGTGACAGCAGACGGATTCCTAGACAAACCACTAAAAACTGTATTCTGATAAGGGAATGACTGGCACCTAAGTCAGCAAGACCACAGGTGACTCAAGGGCTCTTCCCGATGCCACATGTGACATGATCAAAAACCCTTACGTATGTGGTTCATGGTCATGGCTGCCTTACCAGGAACCTTTACATTGGCTGTCGAAATTTCATACAAGGGTCCATGACCACCCCTGCCGGCCCCAAGTAAAGGGGTGCTTTGACCGTGACACACATGAGAAATCACAGTCGGCATCTAGAGATCCCGGCGCCTTATGGCCTATGGTTGGGACTGTGCTTTTTCTCTACTTCGACGGGGGTCAATTGCTCCACCGGAATTCATGTAGTCCTTGGCAAACAAATACGAATCTTGTCTAACGGCTAACGATTGGTAAACCCAAGGGCAAAAAAAGATGGATTCCACTGGAGCGTGTGTTTCTTATTGACAAACTGAAACCAGCGGAATGAATGTATGTTCAACCAAGCCGATCGGACAAGGACACTGATGTTTACATGCGTGATTGTCCTTTTACTAAGGGGAAGGCACAAACAGAACCCTCGCCTTTCTGTATTCCCTAAGCTGACACTGTTGATCCACTCCTTGCAAGCTGCGGGATGACTTCTGGTGGTTGCGAGCTGGCCAAGCCAAAAGTCCAACCCTACGCCGCCCATGAGGTTTCTGTTGGGATACTACAGTAGTGGGAGTCCAGCAGAGGTGGCCACACTGAAATTCACGAGCCGCCCACTGCCTACCGCTTGGACACTGTTGCATGAATCACTCACGATTTCGGGGGAAATTAGCGGGAACTGACAAACACTTTGGACGTGTTGAGAGGTTGGTACCCCAAGCGCCACCCCTCGATGCCCCGAAAACAAAAAACAGCGACAATTTTGCCTGGCCCAGGAAATGTCTCAGACTCCCCAAACTGTTTAAGTCCCCTGAAGAAAAATACAAGATCTCAGTAGCGATGGATTCCCTTTACAACTAACACGGGAAAACAACACATATTCTTAAGGGAATGGAAGCTGTTTGTTGACCCCCCGTTTGAGGGGCCCCATTGACCTCCTGCAGGCCAGTTTCGCCGAAGACAACTGCTCCAAACATAGGGCACGCACTTTTTGCTGGTTGTTTTGCGGAAACCAGCAGGAAATCATTCATTTTGAGGGCCCCAACTCCTCTTGGAAACTCCAACTATGTACCCAGACTTGCCAGAATCTCACGCCCAACGTTTCTGGGTGTTCATTGGAAAAAAACGCCCAAAGCGCACATGCCCCCCCAAACAACCTCGCCTTCCTGGGCCCTTGGATTCATTCGAAGGCAATGGTCCCAAGCCATGCGGGTATGGTCGTTTGTAGGGCACCCCACAAATGGTCTTCCTTCTGGCTTCACATTTCAACCAGGAGAAAAAAAGGTGCCCACAAAAAAAAAGAAGAAACGCACACACGCGCACACACACGCACATATTTTGGACTTTTGACCCAAACAGTGTGAGACACACCCATTTGGGCCAAGGGGCACTCCTGAGGAGGATACGCCGCAGGCCTTTGCTGCGAAAAGGCGATCCTCGCGTGGGCGCTCGCGGGCGACTTTTGTGCGTGACCTCACCAGAAAGTTGGCGATGGGCGGATCGTGAGGACACGATCCCTGTGCGTCGGGAACTGTGTCAGCAAGTTGTTTTTGCCATTTGGATCTAGGTGCATACAGTCCCCCGCCCCTCTTTATTTTCCTTTGCTGAGTTCGTAAGAATTCATCCAGATGGGATGCGTTGGTGTTCCAAGCCCAGGCGTGCAATCCGGGAAGAGGTGGCCTAGCAATGGCTTTGAGCATTGCTCAAATGGAAACAAGGGATCCTTTTGGTAAAAGTGAGCTGTTGTTTCCTCTGTACGAAGCGGCACTGCACATTGCTTTGAAGCATGTTTCACATATTGCGTCTTTGGACATGGAGGGCGGCGAACCCGGGGCCCTGTTGGGTCCCGACGCCAAAGGGCAACTCGGGGGCCTAGAGCTGTGTCAATATCTTTCTGGGGAAAAGACCCGAAAGCCTGGGTGCAGACATTTGCCAAAGCCGGGTGGGAGTTGGCACCGTGATTGCTGCAACCATTCTTCAAGCAGGCGGGTGGGAGACTGTCCTTTCTTGGCACCTCGTGTTTTGGGGTTGGAATATAAGCCAATGTATTTGGTTTTTCCAACCACGCACGGCCGGCTCCCAAATGTTTGCACATCTCTTCGTGGGACCCCAGATAGGCTCTGGAGTGGTTTGGAGCGGCTCCAGGCCAGGGTTCCGGAAGGTTGAGTTTGGATGGCGGAGCGGAGGTCTGACTCAAGTCGGTGATTGGGTGAGCGAAACATATCTAGCTAGAGTTTTTCTTTATGTAGTCATGGTGGCATGTGTCACATTTCGCTCTGCAACAGTGACATCAAAGGCCTGAACTCCAACCCGCCTGATCTCGATGGGGGTCTCACCTTCCAGGTGACAGCCTCAAGCCGGAACTTGGCCGGGGGACCAACATGGAAACCAGCATTTTTGGGTACCCCTCTTGTGGGTGAATACTGGGATACGCCATCTGCTGGTCACAGTCATGTTACCTCTGGTGAACATCCCCTCAATTCATCGCCCCTTGGTCGGGATTCCTTTCTCCAGGGCGTGTCTAGAATTTTGATTCCTTGGGACTGCCGAATTTTGGAGGGGGTCTTTATCTCTTGTAGGTGGATTTACCCGGGCTTAGAGTTCTTTGGCATCGAGTAAAGCCACAGCGATTCTGGTCTGCCCCCGGACTCTCACGAGCCAAAGGCCCTCTTACGTCCCTACGCGTGCGCCAGCTTGATTTGAATGCCTTTCAGCATGGGAATGCCTTTGTATGACGTAAGTTGCGAGGCGCTAAACCGAGTGTTTTTTTATCGAAGCCCCCCGCCGATTTGGCGAAAAAAATCGGAGCCCCAGCCTATGTTGGCTCAGCTTCGCCAAGGCCTTTGGTTCGAGGGAAAACTGGAATGCTTGTCAGTCAAACACAGACAGACCCGGGTTAAAACCAGCAAATCCCAATTCAAAGAGCAGCGAGCCCCTGACCAAATCATTTGGCATGCGCTTCCACTTGGCTTCTATGGCCTCTGTCATCATCTTGGCGGAACCAAGAATTTCCATTCCTTGACCCAGAGTCCCTGCTGTTTTTGTTCTTTCTTCTTTTTTGCGAGTGTCGCCGTTTCACATCATGTTTAAAGGGAAACCAAAAAAAACCCACCCGTTTCCTATTCCGACACATGCCCAATAAAAAGCACCCGGCGAGTGGCAATCCTTCACCCGCGGGTCCGCCGCGCTGCAGTCCGAGAACTTGCCGCCCATCGAGCGGGTTCTGTCTCCGGCCCGGCTTTGGCCCGGCTTTGGGAGGGGGCTGTTGGGACCTTTGGGAGGGGGGGGGAAGAGCCCCAAGCGTTTGGGGCCAAAAAGAAACTTGGAACTTGGGAGGAGACAAAACCAGCTTGAAGAGAGTAACTTAAATCCGGCAAACAGAAGAGAATGAGGCTCTGAAGGGGACGGCACTGCCTGAGCAAAGGGCCCGGTGTCATGGTGTATGTCACACGGGTCACTCTCACAATTGGGCACCGCCTTCCGGATCGTTCAAAAAATAACCAACAGGAAAGTCCCGGCAATTCTCGCACACACGACATACCAAATAGATCTTCCCGAACTAGAGGAAGCCCCTACGTTTTGCTGTCGCCTTTTCCCACTGTTGTACCATCTCAATTGGAGACACCGTCATGCTGGAAAAGGGCCTGCGGGGCCCGCAGCGTGTGGAAATCCATCTGGCATCTGTCGTGTCTGCGAGTTCCTGTGTCAACCGGCCCAAGAGTCCCAAATTTAGCGTATTGCCTCAAACACACTGAACTGCAATTCTGCACAAATTCTTGGTGTACTGATGCATTTCGAGCAGCTCTTCTTCTTCTTCCTCTTCTTTTTCTTCTTCTTCTTCTTCTTCTTCTTCTTCCGGTCGCTGGGCCCGATGGGCAGTGGCATGTGGATGCCCGGTCTTGCAAGTACATGCTGGTGGGCACACATTGCTGCAGCAGGAGCAGGAGGTAGAGTAGATCCGGGTAGGGCCGGGATGGGCAGTGGAGGATTTGGAAAAAAAAAAAAAAAAAACAGAAGGGGCCGAAGGAGAGACCGGGTGGCGCACCAGCGCAGAGACCAGAGGACTGCTGGATGGCCAGCGGTCATGGCAAGCTTGTCATTGGGCTGCACAATGGGCCCGCAAGATGGTCCTGGATGTGCCGTCCCGCTGGAGAAGCTGATGAACCGCCAAGGACCGAGACCCGCGGAAGGACCGCTGCGGGACTTAAGTCGGATGCTCCAAGAAGTATGGGAAGCAGCACGTCCATGCTTCGTCTATGTGTGAAGAGGACAATTGGATTTTCCTAAAAGCTTGAAGGCTCAAGACCCACCCAACAATGCGACCAAGGAAACGCCGAACTCCCATTTTGTGTGCAGCGTTCACGCAAGTAAGTATGGGTTTTGAGAGGTCCTGGGGTTCACCCGGCAGAGTTAAAACCGCTTCCTTTGCACAAAAGGCGCCTCGGGTCTACACCCAAGTGCCGAAAGCAGACATGCGAGTCGAAGCTTCTGACATGGTTTAACACCCCGCCGCCGTTCGTCCCTTGACCTTGCTACAAATGACCATGGAAATCACAGACCATCCCAGTAACAAATCGAACCGGAAAAAGAAACGGTTCAAGGGAGCATGAAACCTCATGCCCTTGGGGAAAGTGCTCAACTCGCCAACGCATAATTGGATGTGACTGGTGGCTCTATCAAATTGATTACAAAAAAAAAATTGCAGGCGAAACTATAGCCTTTCTGAAACCAGCAAGTCGAATCAGCTACCAAAATGGCGAATAGGGCTTCTTGGCGCTGCTCAATTAGACACTAAGCTCTGGGAAACATGTGCGCCAATTGGCACAAATGGGCGCGTGGTGTTTTTTCGGGCAGCCCCAAACTTGTGGTTTTCCTTGTGGTTTTCCTTTACATTCACAAAACAAGGGGTAGCATCCAAAAAACACGAGCCGCCCAAAGGAAGGAATTGTTCCCCACGGGTTCTCGGTCCAATGGGCGTTTAAGGCGCCGAGATGAGATCCAGATCTGCGCGTTCCTTTTTCTGGCGTCTCGAGTTTTGGCGAGGCCAGACTGGGCGAGTGACTTGTTGAAACCACCTCTGGTTTTCCCTTATGCCATGGTCTGACTGAAATAAGAAACCTCTTGGAATTCAAAAACGTGCAACAGGATCCCTTGCAATTGCACAATTCCTTCCCACAGCCCGCCTTCGTCCCTTTCCGACCGCCTCGCCCAACGAAACGTTGTGACGCCTTCCGCCCTCTGTACATCCGAGCCGGGCCGCCGACCAGCGTCGACCAGACTGCTTTGGGCGGATTCCATTTGCGAACCCGGAATCCTTGAGCGCACCAGCCTACCCAGCGCCAGAAACTGGCAGTAAAGGGATCCACCCAGAACAAGCATGGAAAGAAAAAAACTCTCCGCAGATATTTAGGCTTGGGATAGCCCCTCTGCAAGCCCTTCGAGCCCCAACGGCCGAAGCGCATCCGCAGCCCTGGGTATCGCGTCAGAAGCGGTTGGCCTCGGTTACACAGCTCCTGTGGCAGCCACGAATCTCATGTCATGTGCCACAGCTTTCCGAGCTGACAGCCAGGATCTGTAAGTTCTAGCGTAGTTTCACCGGGTTTGGGCGAACAGTCTTCACATGACCTAAACCCTGAGCCTTGATGATCACGGGGGCACAATCGCAGCAATAGACAAGACCCCTGACGTCAATAGTTTTCATGTACCGAGCCAGCACTGCCGAATACCAGCTGCGCTCACTTCTAGCATCGCGCGTTCTGGACCACTGCGCCTCCCGGCCGCATCTTTTTCAGCATCGCTCCGCAGCATCGCTCCGTGTCAGAGCCGTCCGACGCGTCTCCCCAGCATGGCGCCGCGGCCTGCTGCGTCTCCCTGCATCCCTTGTCTTGAGAGCATCGCTCGCCATGTGCGTCGTCCGTCCGCTCACTGTCTTCCCAGCATCAGATGTGCTCCGCCCGTCCACCATCTCCCAGCCTATCTGCCCGTCCACCCGCTACGTCGCCAGCCAGTCTTGCTCTGCCTCCCTCCACCGGCTGCGTCGCCCCTCCGCGGATGAGCCCGTGCGTCTGCAGAAAATCTAAACCAACCCCGACCCGTGCTGCGGGAGAGCCTGCAACCTCAGACCCTTGCGGGTGTCACATCTGCATGATTGTGGTACACTTAGCCGTGGGGCTCGTTTGCACTTGTCAAGGCGGCCTCTGCGTCACCCGACATGCAAGCGATGATGCTCCACGCGTGCTGCCCTTGTCCTCACCCGCCCAGCCCGCCACGAGAAAATATCACACCATTCTGCACAATGTCGTAGGTTCTGCGCAGATGCCCTGATTGCGGCGCTGCTCCATCAATCGCTTTGCGCTTATCATTGCCAAAAACGAACCGTGGCGAGCATCCCCGTATCCTGCGTTGCGGAAGCGCCAGCGTGTCAGGGTTGTCACGTTTCGTGACATTGACAAACTCATAGACGTCGTAGTTGCTAGCCAGCTGGCGCTCCGGTCCGACCGTGGACTTGCCCACAATCCACGACACCGTATTCGCGCAAACTGCATACCGCCATTGCAAGATCGCAAGATCCAGGTGTTGTCCATCATAGCATACCCAAACAGCACTACCGCTGGAAGGTCTTGGGCCACAAGTGCTAACAGTAGACTCAACAATGCTGTCTGTGGCTGGTATGTCCCTTTGAAACATTATACCAAAGTGTATTCACGAGGCAGTGCGCAAAACCACCAAAGGGCAAAACTGGCTGTTGGCTCAAGGTACGGCAGCGGACTCACTGGATATAACAAGTTGATCCATCGGGGTCCAATGAGCTCATGACACTGGAGGTCCAAAAGGAAATTGAGGCACCCCTCTACACATCTCCGAAAGCGGCAAGGGAAACTAACTGGGGGTTGGTTTGAAAGTCGAAACAAGTGAACACAGCCTGGCATGGTGCATGGGCATTGCCTTTGATGGGCCATGCTGGAAATACGGACGATTCCATTGGCATCAGGTGACACAAAAAAAAACAAAGATAATTGGGACATGAACATTTGAGACGTGCCCACACCCATTGACTGTTGGTTCTACCAACATGGTTATACAGGTTTATATTGACCTTTACACGACCCCCCCTGAAACCCTGCAGCAAAACCAGCCACGAAGTTGTTCAATGCGGGTTTGGGCGCGGCTCATTTCCCTGGGGTTTCCAGTGCGATTGAGGGAATGGAAGGATGAGCAAAGATCACCCGGTTTATGGATTTCTCTGGGGTACCACCTTTGGCGCTCGATTTCATCAGCGCTTGCAAGGAGTCACTTTGCCAGGCATTTTGCAAATTCCAACATTCGGCTTGAGCTTCAACCAAAGCCCAAGTACCGCACTTCCTGAGTGGATTGGCCAAAAGAAGCCTGAAGTTGCTAGATATTTAGTTACCACTAAAAAGAAGCGAGGTACCCTTTTTGAAGGTTTCTTGCAGGGAAGCCATGGCAAATAATATATATATATATAGAAATGTACATGAGACCGATGCGCACGTGAATTGGGTGCCCGGCTGCGGGAGAAGTCTCCACTCTGTTGATCCGGACCTTCCGCATCCACCCCAAGCAAACGAATGGGAATGTGGATTTGGACCCCCGAAATGATGGCGTTGCTTTTGTTTTCCCTTTTTAAACCAATTAGAAGTTGTAGCCTGCAAAACCAACAAACACACACACACACACCCGCGCGCGCGCGTGCGCGCGACAAAAGGTCTTGTGACCATGGCATCTCCACTGACTGGGAACAAAACGTAGCTGCACAATGTGTCCCTTGTCTCCACAGGAAAATGTATGTCCAAGGATTTCTTGGGGAGCATGCTCGCCCTTCCAACACGGCAATGCGGCGCCATGTCCCATGATCTTGGGACCACAAGCCGTCTTTGCTCGTAGAAGCCCCGCCACTAAGCTCCATCCTTTCAGCTTAACACAACGGGAGGTCCAACACCCATGTGACTTCCACAACAAACCAGGGTCCTTTGCCAAGGAGACTCCTCTATGACGAGTGTTCATGTGTTAGATTGCACTTCCAGAGCTGAAAGGGGGTTGGTCGCTACGCCCTTTTGCGAATTGTCAGCCAGCTTTGCACTTATGCCAAAGAGCCAAGAGCACCGCAACTCTTGAGCACGGGCAGGTTCGGGCATGGCATTGGGTGTTGATTGGGTTGCTCCCTGCTGGCACGCGGAAGGCAGCTCGCTGTTTATCCGGGAAAACCGAAGAACGCCAAGCTGAACTTCCTTTG